GAGAAGTGCTAGCAGCAACTAGAGGCACAAAGCGCGTGCAGAGCCGCGGGGCGCACGCGGCGCCAAGGCTGAGCCAGACCTGAGCAGGGAGTTAGTTTCGGGCGGTTTGGGGTGTAGGTTTGCGTTTGCAGGGCTGAAGCGACAGCAGGCTTTTTGTCAGAGCTAGGCGCGTCGAGCGTTGACGCAAGCTTTGCGGCGGCAGCGCGGCTCTTGAGGGCAATCGGAGAACTGTGCTCCAGCACCCAACGGGATGCCACAGGCTGTGCGGCATCCAGCGCCCGGGCAATCCGTGTGCGTTATGGAGTGCCAACAACCCCAGGGCCCGACGCACGCAAAGCAGGCTGGGCCAGCTGCGGCGTCCTTTGTCTTTGCGGAACTGTCTGCTTCGGTGCTGGACAAAGATGAAGAGCTCGAACTCGAAGAGATGCGTTGCATGGCTGCTTGGTGCACGAGTTCGGCCTCTTCGTCCCAGGCAATGTCTGTGGCAGTGTGCGGTGCCTTCGGCGTGGCCTGGGCCAGGCTTGTTGGGGAGACAGGGGGAAAGGCAGGGGAAGGCGGGGCCGTGCTTGGTGCTGCTGCTGTGAGCGCTGCCTCTAGGCTGGGAGATGCAGGCTGGGCTTGTGCGTGCTGTGCATGGAGGAATTCGTGGCGCGTGACGAAAGCCTTCCAGGCTCCTGCTAGAAGATCTGTCGCAGAAAGAGCGGTGACAGGGGCCCCTGGCGGCAGGGAGAAAGGAGGTTCAGGCAGAGGGGCTTGCCCCCCTCGTGCGACGCTGCGCTCCGCTCGCCAGCCATTGCAGAAAGCAGTGCTGATGCTGTGCTGGACATCCAAGCTGGCGAAGATGTCGTTCCTTGAGTACAGTGCGGCGCTGTCACGGTGGTGACCTTGGAGAAGGCGGAGCTCCTTGAGAAGCCGCAGCTGTGCCGCCGTAGCCAGCGCGGTGCTTTTCATGCTGTGCAAGGTTAGTTGTTTTGCCTCGGCCGGGCTGAGGCCCCCAGCATTGCGGTGCCAAGGGAGTGTTGCAGCCCAGCGCAAGGTGAGCATGGCGTTGCAGTAAGACGCCGGAGCCAGCTCTGATAATGCAGCGAGCTCAGGCTGTGCGTTGAACCAAAGGAAGTCGACAGAGTCTCCGGGGCCCCAAACATGGTCGGTTGCTTGGCGGAGCGCTGCCAGCCAATGCAGTGTCCAGCATGATGCCGCGTCTCTGCCGGAGAGACCCCCGAGCATCACCGCAAAGGGTTGTCCGAAGTTGGTGGTCTTCGTTGCATAGCACACGCCGTGCAGGGCGGTAGTGCTAAGCGAGAGGCTGTGCAAGTCAATGCGTTGCAGGTCCCCAAAGCGGAGGCTTGCATGTGTCGCCAAAAGGATGGCTCCCAGCGCGAGCTTGGTGGTAAGTGCGGTGCTTGGCAAGCATAGCGTCATTTCCCACGCCGCAATGAGGCACCAGGGGATGGGCAGTGCTTCTTTACGATCCTTGGCGGTGCCTCGCAGCGAATAAGAAACTATAACAGGGCTATCCAACGCGATGCGCAAGGCTTCCCACTGTGATTGCTTTGCCAGCCAACGCAGGGCTTTGATCGAGGACTGTGCGGAGGTTTGGTTAACCTCTCTATCCTGGCTGTGCGAGGCCCGAGCTGCTGCAAGGAAGTCCAAGAGCTGCACGAGGGCCACGGATGCAAACGCAGTTCCAGAGCACGTAAGGAAACCGAGCAGCAGCCAGGCAACGCGAAGGTATCTGTCCAACGTGCTGGGCCTGTAGCCAGAGAGAACTGCGGTGAAGTGTGCGGTGCTGTCTTTGCAATGTTGCAACGCCACGAACAGGAAGGATGCGCTGCCCAAGCTGAGGATGATTTGGCACCAGGCGGTGCCGCAGGCTTGCATCCTCGATGCAGTGGCTTTGCGGGTCGTTGAGGCTGTGATTCTTAGGGGGCGGGGTGGTTTGCAGAGGGCTGTGCTATGCTCAAAAGGCTGTGCCGGGGCCGAGGCTGGTAGTGCGGCTGAGTGCGTGTGCGGGGCAGGCTTTGTGCAGAGCGGCTGCAAGCTGCGGGGGCGGGTGGGCGGTGGCGGCACGGGCAGACCTTGCCCTGGCTGTGGCAGTGGCATCGCGCGAGCCTTCTTCAGCGGCAGCGGCGGTGCCAGAGGAGTACCCCATTGTGGCTTTGGGTATGCATTGTGCTGTGCAGGGGAATGTGTAAGGGCACGGGGCGGTGCTGCCAAGTTGTGGACTGTGGGCAAGGTGCCGTGTGTGCGGCGCTTGGCCACGAAGCCCGTCTTTGCTTTGGGGGTACACCCTAGTGAAAAGGACTCAGCGCATTGCAAGACTGAGTCAGAGCTGTCTTGCGAAGCCGGGCCCCCCGAGACGAGGCTG